AGGGAAACCAGCAACAACACAGTAGGAGACAATTTAGATTGCAACAGGTAAGGTATATTGCTTTTGATGTTGGCTCCAGCTCAACAAAAAAATTGAACCGCAAGAACTAAGCCTGCACTTCCACAGCACTTTTAGTGTGAATTGGCAGCTATTGCACAGAAAATCTATCATATCTCACAAGCTATTAACAGTTAATGCTGTGAATTCGCAGCTAGAATGCAACATATGTTACAAGTCATCAGGTCTTAATGCTGCATATCCAGAACACACATCACAGAGCAAATTTTAAGGCATGCGTCCTTCTCAGGCACTCTCTGCCTGATTAAGAAGACCTTTGGCACGAGCTTGTGTATAATTTAGCACGATTAGTTCAACCAACTAAAAACTCATCATCGGAGTTGAACCAGCCCTCCCAAATCCAACACCCGAATTAGCAGCTACTATTAGCCTAGAAAGGAATTAGCAGCAAGCTAACAACAAGTGCAAAAGAAAAAAAGGGGTGAACGATCCGTCTCGTCAAAGTCAACATTCAGACTCAGCGGCTCAGAGAACAGAAGCGCCGACTAACAGAGCACGCCATGGTCTGATACGTGTACACACGGGGAAATGTAATTCAACAAAACGAACTGAGAGGTTCACCTGAAACACAATTCCGGCAAGTAGCAGGTGCCACTTCTCGAACAGAAGCTGCAGCTCCACCGACGTCTCGGCGCACACCTTCCTCCATAACTGCAATAGGACAATCGGAGAAAAATAGGCTTAACAAACTATACCCAAAACAGATATGGGGCCCAGCCCCCACACGCCAACGAATCGAGACCTTGGTTGCCTCCCGCGCGATGTAAATCGCCATGGCCGCAGCGCCCGCTCCCTGTCGTCCGACTGAAGCTAACACCGGTTGGGTTCACAACCATGCTCCGATCCGCACATCACCGCCGGGATCTCGCGCGGGAACTCGCCGCCTCGGGAACGCCGCGAGATCGGCGGCGCCGCCTCCGAGCGGACGACGGCACCCGAGAAGCTAAGCTTTGGGCGCTCCCGGCGAGGAGAGGGCAGGGGCGCGAGCGAGCGTGATCTCCGGCGGCGCGACGGGCGGAGGTGGGTGGTCGGGCCGAGCCGCCGCTGAGGAGTCACGCGGCGACGGGGACACGGCGTCGACGGTTTGAATCGGGGACGGCTCGCGGAAACAGGGCAGGGGAAGTGGGCGTTTCGGTAAAAGTGGCGGGCTCAATAACAGCTTAAGTAACAGCTTGAGCAGCTCTCTGCTGGCCGCGTTAATTTTTAGGCACGCCCGCTAGATTCCACAGCTTGCGCTGTTGCTCGCTGTGTCTGGCTCATCGGGCGCAAGATTTTAAATTCTGATCCATCTAAATTAGTGATTTAAACACTCTTATATTTCTTTACGGAAGGGGAATTATATAAAAAAAGTGAATTATGTTTCCAAAGAAACATCTTAAATTTGCAAGTGTTTCACTTCAGTACTAGTTTGTTTTTGCTTTCAGTGAGATTATGATAAAATTCACCGGATTTTAGTAGGCATTGAAATATTGACCTTTCGGTTAAAATGTTACTGCAATTTTAGTAGTGCACATGGATTTAAATATTTTTTAAAATACTTTTGAAATGAATTCCAGTGTTTGGTTGAATTCAATTGAATGTTTCAGCATTTTGGCCGAAATGCAAACCGAAATAACTGGATCTTTAGTGATTTCGGTTGTTGCTGAAATTTTTCTAAAACTGAAAGTGGAAGCATATATTGCTCACTACGATCTCCAATGGAAAAAGAGAACACGTCGACTCGGGTCGTTTTTCTGTTTATCCATGTTAATTTCTCTGAGCAAATTGACGGCCACTAATGCAACGAAGCAATTGACTTTCATATACTTATCGTATGACAGGGTTGAAAGAGGAGACAATTGTTAGTCTAGGTAGAAAAGTACATATTTTGGTGGTGAAATATGTGTTGAAATCCAGGTAACTTACTCGTTTTTGTACAAATAAAAAACAACATCTTCATGTTGGGTTGCGAGATTTTGATTGTTCTATGCGAATGAGACTTGTGAATAATCCTATCAATGACAAGAAAACAAAAGACATCAAAAACGTAAAGTCAAATCGACCAGCAATAGCCCCACTGTGAAGAGGATGTGGACAACACCTCCTTTTTTTGTGAAGTTATTTGTCGGTACATTCAATAAAAATTGATGTAACTTATAACTTGCTATTTATCAAAAGGGTGTGGTTAGGTCTTAGTTGACTGAGACTTAACTAAGTCTAAGTCAAGTGACATAACATGTAAGAAAGAAAGAAAAGAAAAATAAAAATTTGCACTGATCTTCACGTAAGATCTCACGAAAATAGCATCGACTGAGACTTGACAGTCTCGTTACAAAAAATTTCTGTTTTTGTTACTTCAGACCTATAAAATTGAAAATCTTACGGTGAAGATGAAGTAAAGTCCGATGTAGGGAGATGTTTATTACATCATATACTAGATAGAAGAGCCTCATCATATATATTAAAATCTATTTAAAAATCCCATGCCACATTCTCTCACACATAGAAGAGCCTGACACCAATCAATGGCACAACAACAGCATAATTCAGGTTGCGTTTGGCGCTACGGTTTTGTTTCTTTACTGTTGGTTTGATTCGTTTATAGTACTTTTATTGCAATATTTTTGCAGCATGTTATAAAAATTAGCAAAGCAGCAACTCAGTGATCCGCGGAATGCGCCTCAAACTATCAGTCGGTAGACAGATGGTAAGTAACCATACAATCATAGAGTCTGGCCGGGTGTCACCACTCACCAGAGAATCAAACTTTACAAAATCCATCCACATCACTCGGACCTTATTCTGCGCAAGGTTGGCACAAAGAGGCAAATTTCCACGCACACGGTGTGCAAACCACCTGGACGATTCGTAGGCGGCCGTCCTTTCAGAAGACACCGAACATTCGACAGGAATGAACGGTTGCTTTCGCAGGTGGACAGGAAGGGACGGCCGGCGGCCGGGCCCCGATCGATCGAATACGCCGGCCTTATTCATGTGCACGCACGTCTGTCTGCACCCACCTACCTACCAGCTGCTTGCTGGCATGTGCCGAGCCAGTTCATACGGCGCGGGATACGGCGCGAGCAAATCTTCTGGGGCGCGCGCCACCATAATCGCGGTGTACGCGCCGCGGGAGCACATGACAGCGGCGTGGGCGGCGGATGGCTGGAGCGCGAGGCTTGCACGCGTCCGGCGGAGAGGCTTGCCGTCGCGGCGAAGCAGACGCGAGTGGACGGGAAAGAGACGCGACGGGGCCGCGGTGCTGCCGCGGTAGAGCCGTCCATTCCGTGTCTTGCTCGAACCGGGGCCGCTTTCGTGCGGAGAGACCGAGACGTCGGCGTCTGGATCTTGTTGTCTTTTGCGTGGAGCAGTCGGCCGCCGTCGTCTGACGTCTCCCGCTCCCGCGACCCCAAACCGATGTCGGTTCGTCCGCTAATCGTCCGCTCGGGGCAGAAAAACGGACACGGACAACTACTTGAGGTCGTGCGGCCGCCGGTGCGTTCAACGGGCACGCCTTGTCCCAAACTGTCCGCGGTTGTGGATATAGTACCAAAGTTCATAATACGAAAGTTCGATGCAGGTCTTAATTTAACTAGCAAATAATACAAAAACATGAATATATAAACATAAAACGTCCATAAGGTCATAGTACCAAAGTTCAATGCAGGTCTTAATTTAACTAAAACTTAATAAAAGACATAAAAAATAGATAAAGGCCCGTCGCTGGTGGCCGCCGTCGTCTTCAGGAGTCGCCGTCCTACTCGTCGTCGTCGCCAGTGAGGTCGACGTAGGGCGGTGGCTCCCACAGGTGGGCTGGTGGCCCTGCCAGACAGGGGGCGCCTACGCCGAAGGCGCCTGCACCACCTCCTTCCGTGGATCCTGCTCGTGCTCTGGTGATCACGACAGTGGGGCTGACCATGGGCCGACACCCACTAAGTCAACCATCTCTGGCACCGCGCACCACCAGCTCCACCGCTGACCCACCAGACGAGGGTTCCACGCGGCGATGGGCGCCTCCTCCAGCACCTCCTCCTTGACGTCAACGTCCATCTTTGGGATGGCCACGTCGCCGGCCGTAGACAGGGCCAGAGCGGTTTCCAGGCCATCCTATTTGCCGCTTGTCGTGCGTGTTCATGGAGTCCTCCATGACACGCCTCATGAGGCGGGCCTCCTCCTCCTCGGTCATGGGTGGCGGCGATGGCGGGGACGGGGACGGAGAAGGCGTCGGCGTGATATCGCGCACACGCCTACGACCCCGCGTTTGGGGAGGGTTGTCATCAACACGAAGAGGACGCGGGCGGCGCGGGCTAGGAGGACGACCGGTAAAAAAGGATTGCCGCCACTGGTCGTGCTTGTTGCGGAGCCACGTATCCCATAGCGGCGAATCGATGGCGTACCTGGAGTCAGCCAGTAGATCTGGTGGGAGGCGCCGACACTGTCGGTTGATCTTCTCACGGCGGGCGCGGCCGCTCGCGTGCACTGGAAGGATCAGCACATGGTCGACAGAGAGTCAGAGAGATGCCATTTATTTGGCAGGTGGACATCTCCCCACGGCACCGGCGTCACCGTCTCCACGTAACGATGGCATACATCGACATGGATGTATGGCCTGTCGCGATGCCCGGCCGCCGGGGCCGCCATCTGGAAAGCTGGCGGAGCAGGTGGTGGAGAAGGCGGTGCGGGCAGCGCAGATCTGCTGGAGCGACGTCGGCCATAGGAGGAGCCCTCCTCGTGGTCGTGCTTCCCCTTGATCCAATGCCTGCTCATGGCGCCGACGGGGAGGTGGGCGAGCGGGATGCGACGGCGGGGAGGTGGCTAGGGTTTGCTCGTGTCCGTGAGGAGGAGGCAGGTCAGCTTGGAAGTGGAAGCTGTGGACTAGCCGGTCCACGGCTTCCACATTAAGAAGGACGATGACCCTACACCCGTGTCAATGACAGTCGGGTCCCGCCGTGCGTGCACATTCAATTTGGGCAGTGGAGGTAGGTGGACGGCCGCCACCCGTTCCCAAAGCGGATGCCGAGCAAGCGCGTCCCCGTCCGTTCGACGTCCGTGTAGACGCAAACCGGACGCATGTTTGCGCCAGAAATGGGGCGTGCCGGACGCGAAACGGATAAAATTTGAGGATGTAGTCGCGCATTGGGCCGTGTTGTCTGTCTGTTTTGGCCCAAATAAACATACACGGACAGAATGGGGTCGCGCGTTGGAGTTGGACTTATTCAAGTGTTGATCACAGATCGTAATGGCACATCACGGTGCACATTATCTGAATGTTCCTTATTTCCTGGCAAAAAAAACGCACCGTGGGTTGCAACGGGAGAAAAAAAACATCACTAACCCAATAATAACCATAACTGAAGACCCCAATAGTTTCACGTCATTTATTTTAACATGACATCTCATATGTGTTGTCGCTTATCCTTCTTTCCACCCTCGTCGACGGTGACCTCAGTGCTCACATAGTCACAACATGTTTGAATGTGGTCAATCCTAAGACGTCTCTCTCTCTCTCTCTCTCTCTCTCT